TTTGTTTTCCAGTATGAATATGAACAAACGTATGCTACATGCTGACCATGCAGAGTCAGTGCCTCCTCTGAGGGTGACGGTGGCCAAAGGACAGCTATCTAACAGGTAAACAACTGTAAGTAACAGGGACAATAAGGCGCGAGAGGGACACAATGGCCCAGCTCCACCCGAGGCCAAGGTTCTAGAAAGGCTTCCCAGAGCTGAGTCCTAGAGAAGGAACAGTCAGGACACAGAGGAAGGAGAGGCACTGCCAAGAGGGGACAGCAGAACGAGACGTGCACATGAGAGGGTGAAGCACAGCCTCAGAGGCGAGACACCAACTCGATGAAGAGGGAATCTCAATATGCAGAGCCTCAGAGGAACAGAAAAGAAAATAACACAAGGCCTAAGTAAGTGTCAATCAAAAGGAAGAAATGAAAACCCACCGGAAGTCAGGCATCGCTGGATACCCATTCTGGTGCCAATATGAATCTCCTGGCCCTTGGCCGGGGTAGCTAAAAACAAATGATGGCTCAGAGGTACGCACTAAAAGCCCAGCAGCAAACGCTGAAACTCATTAAAAGCCCACAGACCTGATGTCACACCTCATTCCATTATATGGAAATACTTTCAAAGCCTACGGCACGTCCAAAAGAAGGCCATTTATCAAACACAGTGATCTACTCAAGTCTCTGCTTTTTCAAACATGAGCAACTTGCCAAGTTACTACATTATAGTTTTGGATTAGTATTTACTTACAATACCTGCTTCGTTCCAAAAAATATTGAATCTACTACTGTTTTATTTTATCTGGTAGTCATATCACAGGGGCTCACAGAACTGCAAAGACCTATAAGGTTACTGTCTACAGAGCTTCTACTCCCCAGGAACTACACAGGAACTAACCAGACCATGAAAATGAGAAGACCGAGATCTGCGCCCTGCTCAGGTCTGAGTCCGAGAGACCATCCTGCAAACAGTAATGATAATGCAATGACAGGTGCCAGTATAGAAGAGTGTGGAAGGGGTTAAGGGAATAAAAAGAGGCATCTTCAGGTCCAGGACATCCCTTTGTTCACTTTTCCACTCACTCACTCACCCTGTCACCCATTCATTCCTTTCTTCAGTGTCTCATGGGCGCCAGGAGCTTTTTCTAAGTCAGTGGTCGCCAACCTTTTGGACCTCACGGACCACCAGTGGTCTGCGGACCACCGGTTGGCGACCGCTGTTCTAAGTGTTGAGATACCTGTACAGGAATGCTCCACAGATGGCTGCTGAAGGATGAGGGTTGGGGGTGGGAGGATGGGAAGGAAGAAAGTATTCCGGGTAGAAAAAAAGAGTTTGGCGACCAACACAGCTTCTAGCAGTCACAATGAGTGGGAGAGGGACAGGCAAGAGAGAGAGATGGAAGGTGGGAGACCTGAAAGGGTGTGACCAGGAGCACAGGTTGCAACACAACAGTACACCTTTCCCTTGACAGGAGGACCAGGATTAAGGATGTGTGGAAATGTGGATGCATTTCAGGATAGGGAGAGACAAAACACCAACATGCCCCACTGGTGTGGCTCAATGGTGAGCATCGATCTATAAACAAGGAGGTCACGGTTCCATGCCCAGGTTGCGTGCTCGATCTCTGGTAGGGGGTGTGCAGGAGGCAGCCAATTAATGATTCTCTCTCACCATTGATGTTTCTATCTCTCTGTCTCTTTCTCTTCCTCTCTAAAATCAATAAAAATATACTTAAAAAAAAAAAAAGAAATACACCAACAAGATGGGGTAAAAACATGATGAGTAGCAATTCACTGAGAAGGAACCATGGTTGAACAGGCTCTGTGAAGGACGTGTGTAGGACACAAGGATGTACGTCAAGCATGTCAAACTCAAAGGCTAACACGGGCCAAATAAACAAGGTTTAAGTTTAGTGGGCCGCAAAAAAACAAAAGCTTCAATTTTCATAGAAGCGTGGGTTTATTTTGATAGAGACATGCTGAATACAAAGGGCTGAGATAAATGAATAATCGTTAACATAAAATAGGACATTTTAATAAAAATTAGTATTTTTTCTTGAACATTAACTTACCAGACACTGAATAACTGCGCAAATTAATAAACGTTAACACAAATAAACCTATTTTTCTTGTTCTCCAAAAGTGAACTGTTTCCTGTTGTCCACACCAAACAAGTCAGTCCAAAACTAATGACGTGGCAATTGGCTGCTAAAATATTCGCTGCTAGTATCAGTGG